TGCCATTCTGGGAACCGGATGAGGCTCCGGGGCTATCCAGAGAACAAGGATTGGGTCAACACAGGTACATTCGGTCTGCGGTGGTTTTCACACTCGTGTGGCCTCCAAGAGCTGAATGTTGAACCATGCTTGATGGTTCAAGCATCTCTTTTGTTGAAATTGCACCTGCAGAGAGATGGCTTTTTGTCCAGCATCAATCAGTGGGAAACTGGTTGTCATCTTGACGATATTCCTGCACTGCGCCGACTCCACATTGAACTTTTATCACTGGGGACCCTTCTGAAAATGGGTATGCGGAGAGCGTATTATTGAGCCACACCTCCAAATCCTCTGCATGATCGTTGTGACTCATCGAAGTGTGTTGGTTTAATGGGAATGGGGACTTTAGTCATCATCGCCATCAGATCGCTCGACTCAACCGAGCAGTTTGTACCAGAAGGTGAGTCTATTGGAAAGGAACAAATCGGAAATCTTTAGGCACCCAAAGGTGTAGCCTGGACTCGTGGTGCTGTGTTCGGCCCAGGCTCCCTCTACCGGGTCCGCAACATCAATGATCCCTCCCCTGAGTGGTGCTGTCGTGCTAGACGGATTGGGATGGTTGGAGCACATGAAATATGTATACGAGGGCGAAATTTATTTGAGCCCAACTTGTAGATGCCTTCTCATAGTGAATGTTCTAAGTGAGTGCGCAAACAAAAGGGGTCCGCTCCGCAGTTTTCGTACCATATGTTCCGCGGTTCCAATGTAACTTCATCGACCGGCCGACAATACACACTTTCCCATTACATATCAGTACTTCTTTCCTCATTCCCACCTTTCGCCACAGTCCGCTGTGCAAGTCAATCCATCTCATTCAAATTGGGAAGATGATAGCGATTTGTAATCTATCAGCATCGGTCATGGTTGCATGGCGCCGCCTGATAGAATTATGTTGGCGAACCCCTTGGCCCCTCTAGGTAAGTCCTGCATTCTAAACGTAATGGTAGCCGTACTGGCCATCAAGCCTTTTGTCTCTCTCACATATATCTGCTAGAATCTCGGTAAAATAGTGGCTTCAATCGTACGTCTAGGCTGGACACAACATCTCGTGATGATATTGGCTCATGAGGTGAACATGATATTGCTCGCCATATCATTTCAATGCGTCCAAGGAATAAGTATTTCCGTTGTCAGGAACTAATGAAGAAAGCTACACATTAATGTCTGGTCCCTTGGCCCAGATTCCCATGTCGACATGGCATACATATCTGAATGTGCATTCTCCCACTCGACCATTGACCAGCGAGGTAACAGAATCGTTTTGTATGCACAATAAAAGTGCGCGGTATAGTATGTACCTACTGTCTTGCTTCCATCTGCAAATTCACTCTCAAGTCCTAATTCCATATATTTCGTACACAGGGCTGCAACGTACCCTGGCCGGGTGACTCTTCATCAATATTATTAATAATTAACTAAGTTTTGAGATAAGACCAGGGCATTATTAATATCCTTCGAATCGTTACGGTTTAAGTAGCGGATTGTTTGTAGACCAAACATTATTTCACATCAAAATGTATGCTCTGAATATCACAAATCAAGGCCGGTGTGAAAGGATTTGAGGGACGAAGAACAAGAGAACGTGTTGAACGTGAGGTGCGGACCATGAAGGCTGCTCGGCTGATTCCCCTGGAAATGCAGGGTTGGTTCAGGCAAGAAAAAAAAAAAAAAAAAAAACTGATATCGATCACAGGATCGAACAAAAGGCCTGAGGAACGAATCACTATTGGCTGGAATGAAGTAAGGGCGATGCAGGATACCCTTATACTGAGTAATAAAGGACAAAAATGGCAAAAGAAGTCGTCAGAAAGCGTGTGGAACACCTCATTGCAAGGAGGAACGAGGACGATCAATTTTCATATTATTTTCGCATCAGATGACCTTCCCACGGCATCGATCCGCACAAGAAATCCGTGGCAGTAGTTAGGAAATCCTCGGAGTGAATCGTGTCATTATCATCATTATCATCCAGCCGACAAAATGTCTTTGTAAGGGGGATGGACGGGCTTGGGATCCGACGTGTGACATGACGTCAAGGACGTGTGGTACCAGTAGCTCGACTATGAACCATCCCAGCTGCAATGGCTGCCCCTGCGACAGTTAGGATCGCTGCACCTCCCGAGGGTCGACCAATCGGATAATCAGGATAATCCTTGACGACGGGAACGGGCACTGGTTGTGGGAAGGAAGGAAGCAGAAGCCGGGAGGAGGTGGAGGAAGGCGTATTGTTGTCTTTGTTGTTCCCAGTAGATGTTGGCTGATGATGACGAACCGTCACACCGAGAGAAGGATCATGGTTGGGATACAAAGAGGGGTTCAAGCGGGGATCATCCCAAGTCGCCAGAGGGTTCAACGAAAGCGTGTCTGAGAGGATTGGTTGGTCTTCGTAAATCGAAGTCCGTCATCAGTCGACTAGCAAGCGACGAACCGACGAAGTATAATTGACCAGAAATGGGGTCCTTCTCCTCAATCCATCCAGTAGGCAAGGCCCGAGTTGTTTTGCTGCCCTTAGCTTCAGCGGGAGGAGCTGGATATTGTGGCATGTTCGAGTGAAGGCTCTGTTCCCACGATCACGCACCATGCATGAACTCGTTATTAATTGGAATTTTTTCGATCAGTCTCGAAGCTAATGATCATGTATTTGGGGTTCAAAGGTAATATGATAAGTCGAGGAAGCAATATTAACATTCTACAATGAAAGCAAGAAAGCGAGAGAGAACGAACCAGGAGGCAATATTGATTAGAAGAAGAAAATTGCGGTGTGGCCCAACCAGAGGCCAACTGCAAGTCTGTATGTCTGGAGCGCGACGAAACGAACTCATACAAGAATTGACATCGAGAACAAGCGGAGCCCAAGTCGAACAAAAGGAAAAATAAATACATAAACGATCTGACTAACGAATCTTATTCGAATAAAGACAGTCGATGTTGCGCTTTGCATAAGCGCTCCATTTTTTGGGGGTGTTTGTCTCCCTTATGGATACATGGATCACGACGCACTAGCCTTTGGGAAGATAAGAAGATAAGATGGCAGCCAAGAGATAAAACACAACGCAAAATTGGCGATGGAGAGAACGAATAAGGTTGTCGGTTGGAAAGCTGGAACGCTACCGATGTGAAATAATACAAGCGGAGGACAGAGGAAAGAGTAGGGGACGCACAGGGGACGCATGAAAAGGGGACAAGGGCCAAGCAGGGTATGAGAGTCGGGCCGCATCAAGCTGGGATGGTCCCGAAAGACACCAAGGGACGCGCATGGCATGAAGGAAGTCGGCTAGAAACGGAATTGAGATTTGTTCGTAGGTCGGAAGTGTTAAAGTTGATACAGTGTGTGAGTGTGTGGTATGTGCGTCCATGAGGTGCGTGCGTAATGGGAAACGAACGCACTGATAGAAGATAAGAATGTGTGTGAAGGTGTTTAAAATGTGAGAAAGTCGTGGTAGTACTGATGATGATGGTGATGTTTGAAATGCGTGATGGATGAGGATTGGGTACGTGTTGGTTTAAGGCGAGGCGGAGTTGTCGAAGAGTTAAAAAGGTGGAATGTTTAAAAAAAAGAAAAAAGAAAACAAGCTATAGAGAACAAGCGTATTGGCACAAACATGCACAACAGAGAAGATATAGTACAGGTTAAGGCCGAGGGCCGGCGGGTGCTGGCGAAGACGGCTCAACGTCAATCACCATCAGTCTTGGAGAATTAGTGGTTCCAAACAAAACGGGAAAAGTGTCCGAGGATCAGGGTATCCAAGGAAGCAATCATAGCAAAAAGAAGGTCGGACCTGCACTTGACGTTGCGAGAGAGAAAAAGACCAAATAATAAGGCAATCGAGCAAGCAGGCGATCAAGAAAGTCCGGGAGTATTTCAGTGAATGGAGGGAGTGTCGCATGTGCAAATAAAAAAGAAAGCGAGTGTGGTGTTGTGGTGAGATCATTCCTTGGCACATACAGGAAAAAGACGAAAGGCTAGTGGCGCGCAAGCGTTGTGATCGCATGATGGACATCTCATGACCTGTAAGCCATATCCATCAGGCCATGATCCTCTCCTTGTCCGAAGAATTCATAATGCTGGTGGTGGTGCTCGTAGCCACTGTAGAATTCCCCAGTTTCTCCGCCCGCTGCGTTGTCGAGCGGATGCGGATGGTGCTCACCACCTTCGGCCGGCTGCGATGGCGTTGCAGAAGGCGGAGTCGGGACAGGAGCAGCGTGGCCACCCCCAAGGGCAACAAGGGCCTCTTCGCTAAGTAGGTTAACAGGAGACCCAGCATCGAGAAGGTCTTGTCCGCCAACATTCACGCTAACACCAGGGTGTGGCTCGGTTGATACCTGCCCGTGAGGAGAGGTTGCGGACCCCGCAGATAGACAACGGGCCTGTGGCGAGACTGGTGATGGTATCATCAACTCATGATGGGCTTGTTGGTGTTGTACGTGCTGTGGCTGATGAGGGAATTGATGCTGGGTGGGGTGCGCAAACTCAGATTCATGCTGAACCTCCTCAGGGGTCTCTTCCTCCTCATCAAGGTATCTCAAATGAGGCGGTGGCGTGAGTGGCGCAGGAATGGAGAGTGGCGGGAGCGACGAATCATGGGAAGAGATTGTGTGGGATTGCGCGTGAATATGATGTTGTGCGGGGGAAGCTTGCGCTTGGGTTCTCTTGCAGCTCGAAAGTCTAATGCAAATGAGGCAAGTAGAAAGTTAGTGATCGATAGCTAATATGAAGGTGGGAGTTGGCAGGTTGAGACATACTTGATGGCCCTCTCAAGCTGGGAAAGCGCGCGCATTACGCCGCAATCTCTTAACAGAGGCTTCATGGACTCATCCAGGTTGTCAAAGGTGGTGGCGTCTCCACGACCCTCTGAACGGTGTCGCGTCTCGAGGAATTGCCACGTAGAACGAACGTTCTTGCTAAGATGAGCAACGAACCCCGAGGAGCTCGGATCGGCGAGACAATGACACACTGGTTCCTCTTGTGCTTTGTTTTTGCTGCTCGTCTTGTGAGGTGGAGGCGAGGATGAAGAAACGCCAGGGTTGGGGCGACGAGAATGAGATATACTTGGAGGTGGGTTAGTCAAGCTGCGTCGAGTATCTTGAACGTATGGACCCGGAGCACCCGGGAAAGGATCCGTCGCCGTCCGCATCAAGACGTTGTTCCCAAGGCCGCCGAACTTGAGCGACGATCCAGTCGGTACGCTCGCACGACGTTGAAGGCCCATTGTGAGAGGGACAAGGTTGTGAGAGTTGGTGGATCCGGGGAAGAGGGGGCTGCCGAGAGCACTGTTCTCGTCGATCTCTAGGCCACTCTCATCGCCAGCACTCTCGAGCGAGAACGAGGATGCCGGCTGCTGTTCGACCTTCACACGATATGACTCGTCGAAAAGTCCACCTCCAAGCCCGCCGAGCCCGCTCTCACCCAGCTTCCTCTTCTTCTTCTCGTGACCATCGCACCGGTTGACACCATCGTTCTCCCGATCAGCATGATCTCTACGGGCAGAGCGGACGTGCCAAGACTCCTTAGGAAAAGAGATCGTAGGTGCAGGCGATGGAGGGGGCTGGAAGGCAGAATGGGGTGAGTCCATCGAGGACTGTTGGACGATTGCGTTGGCAGCCCAGCGAGGTTGAGGCTTGTTCTTTAGTTCGCGGACGACGCCTTCGAGTTCAGCAACGCGATTCCGGAGGCTTGTTACTTCATCTGTATCTTTATCTCTGAGAAAGATGATCGGATGAGTATTGGGAACAAGGAAAGGGGCGAAAAAGCGAGAAAGAGGGGTAGTGGCAAATCAGGTGTGAAGTGGCAATATGATCTCCACATGTGGGTGTGATTTGCGTTGGAAGAGAGGAACTCACCGTGTCTTCTCGCCGACCTCGTAGACGCAGAAACCGGTCTATATTAAGAGCGATAAGCGAGAGTGTTGATGTGAGGCGGACTCAGACCTCGACGCTAAGGCCCGACAGCAGAGTGAAATGGAGGATCAGCTCACCAGGCCCAGAGTGATGCATCTGCCACAGGGACGACCTCGATCACACTAAGCGCCATGAAAAAGGTGATCAGTTAGCAAAAGATGAAGGAAAGGGCCTTCAAAGGGACCGTGCGACCCGCACCTTTCTCTTATTCTGATGACAGGACAAGCAAGATTGCGTGGTTCTGTTCCTCCTCTTCTTTCTGTGGTCAATCTTTGGGTCCTCTTGGATGAAGCTCTGCTTGCCACTGTGGATACTGTTGGGATTGAGAGACTTTACGGGTGCGCCGTCCTCAAAGTCAGATGTTGGATCATCCTCGTTGTTGGGTACGTTCAGGTGTCTAGCAGAAGAAGCGCGGAACGCCATCATGGCATGCAGGAAGACAATCTTTGGAGGCTTAGCGAGGTTTCGTTGGCAACAGAAGGAAGAGAAAGAGTCGGGACACGAATGGATTGGGAGGGTGAGCCGTGAGCTCACCAAGAATCTTATATGGACCTGTTCATAAAATGTCTTGAATTCTTCAAGTTGGACGCTTCAATCTTTTTGTGTTGATTTTATCTTATTTTATCTTTTCCCTTGGATTTCTTCTTTTTGGAAATATTTGTGATGGTATACTAGTAATATGGATTCATGAATTCTTTAAGGGTGCTACTCTTTCCAGTGTACTATATGTAATATTCCGAGAATTTATTTCTCCCCTGCAATTCTTACGGAATTTCCGGCGCAATCACCTCTCCCTCTGCTCGCTTCCGCCGCGGGAATGTACCAAGAACAGCACGGCAACGTTCGCTCTGCAGGACTACAGAAACGGACTATTCCTTGTGGTCCAGCCCTGAAGCTGGGAGGGCGATCTTGCGCAATTGGGCAGGCTACAACAGATGCCGGCGTCATAAAATCCCTTCTCATCATCCTTTACCGAGGAGATACCGTGACCAACGTGTGGACGCTTTGGCCCCGTGTCATTGTTCACCTTGCCACAACCTAGACCCATGGCCTGAGCGTGAATGAGGGCCCTCGATTGGCGAAGGAAGAACCTCCCAACCGTTCTCCTATTTAGAAGCCTCGGAAGCTTGAAAAACAACACTCTCTATACATCAACCGTGTTTGCCTTCCTTGCTGGGGGAACAAAGAGGAATTGCATGCGGCCGCCCGGAATGGCAACCGGCTTAGCCGGCGCTATACCAGGAAATCAGGAGTCAGCATTTCAACGGAGGCACAGAGCCGTCAGACCCGTATTTCTTGACCACATCTCCCACTACGGTGCCCCCGCGGCAGGCTTCCAGTCGCACGTTTGTCCATTTCGACGACAGTCATCGTACAGGTCCCTTCCGTTACCCTAGTGAAGGGTCGAGCGTTGAGCCTTTAAGTTGCTAGGGCCCTTCTTCAGTGCTGTGGGACCAATGCAAATTCTGACGCCGACAGCGCAACACATTTTCGCCTCAGCCAATATGCCTCAATCGCTCATCGTGATCACAGAGGCAATTTCTCACCATCTTTACATGGTGACACGCGAACGATTCACGCAGCTACAAGAATACAGGCGGCCAGGGGCTCAAGCAAATCCCCCCGGGACGGCCAAACAAATTGGGACTCATTAGCGAGAAAGCTAGCTTTACTCTTCATGGCTTCCAAGGACGTTTCGCATGTTCCGATTGCGGACCGCATGATCAGCTGCTTCCAATGGTAATTGTACATGCGGGAAGATAACAATCGGGCAGGCAATCTTTGAATGGGGGCATCACGCATTATACATATCTCGACCCTATCCCCATACAACAAAGATAGGACTACATTGCCCTAATCTAAAATGCCCAACAAACTCCAACCAAAATGAAATGAAGTTGCTCCTTTACTTACCGGGACGAATGCTTCGTTCGGGGACTGAGGATGGTTGGATATGGGCTCGTGATGGGATCATACAAACGTGCTAGTGGTCATGTTCGTAAGTCCGCGTGGGTATGCGAGGACAGGTGGTTGAACAGGTGAAAAAGGCGGTCAAAGGCGGTATCGATAGGATCGGTGTGTATACCCGAAGTATGTGTGGCTGAGATCGCGCATATTTTCTGGGGTGATATATTAGTGGCAGAAGCAACCCGAGCTGTGACTCTGAGTCGAAGACCCCACGTTTGCGGATAATGTCTGTTCAGGGAAACAAGAGGAGTTGAAGGTCAGGAGGGATACCGCCAGGGTCGAGTTGCCTCCTTTTTCTTGGTTTTCGCCATCGCGGCTCGATAAACTTGAGCCTCGTGTTTTCCTGTGTTCATATTTACCCCGCACGTCACCCCGCGTACGTACACAGTTCCGAGCCGATCGATCCGAGTGTCTGGTGAATCATAACGAGGCATGCTGTACACTCCAACATCACTCGAAGAGCACAAGGGTCAGAGAAGCTACAAGGTGCCTACGAAACGGTTAAGGGGTGCCGATCACAGTATTGGCACGGTGTGGATGCGAGGAAATCCTGAAAACTAGTCGATTCCATCGTGACCCTCGCGCGCGGTCATCAACCAATTCCTGAGCTGTGCATCTTTCACCACCGGGAATGTTTCATCAACGAAACTCAATCACTGGCACGCTGTGATCGACAAAAAGCCATATGAAACCTTTTGGTGTGACCTAATTACCCCTATCTGCACACGCTGTACCTCGAAGATCTTTGACATACATCTAAAACGGAAGCTGACAATAGGGAAATCAGTTAGAACATATGCTCGTTTCTCTCAAGTTTGGACTTGCTTTCCTCCAAAGCTACCCCTATGTGCTGAACGCTTATGATCAAGCGATCAACAGTGTCTGTGGGGATGCAGGCGCGTGACAAGTTAATGATTCAGTGGTCATTTTGCACATTCCATTGGGGTGCACACGCGCTATCATCTGCCTGCCAAAAAGTGCAAACACTCGCACTGATGGAGTGTTGACATGTGAAGCTGCTAATTAAGGCAGTCTCGGGTGAGGTCATGCTCTTCGCACACAGTGCACGAGCATTACAAGTTCATGAACATGAAGACGACATGATATAATGTCTTTCCATGGAAAGTGCCCGCACCCGTCATCTGACCCTAGCGAAATTGGGCATGACCAAGATAGGAGGCCTGTGAACCGGTGCGAGGTGCGACGGCAAACAACGAGTGATATTAAGATCTAGATCTCACCGTATGTAGTTAAACCCCAGCCACCGCGTGATACGCTACTCCTTCGCCGCTGTGGCAATAAATATCACTGGTTGGCCACATCGCTAAGGAAAGCAAAACAGAATAGGGGCTGGTGAAGTGAGCAAGAGTAAAATTGACTCAACGTCGGTAAAAACTTTGTACTGATCTCACAGAATGGAGCAGCTGCCGAGCTCAAGAATGTGCCATTGAACACTATACGTCTGTTGTGCAAGTAATAAGTTGTTCATGGCAACAAGTGAACGACGCGAATCTCGAGGCTTAATTTGAGATGGATCAAGACGCCTGCCGTAGGCAGAGCGTAGATATGAGAAACCATCCGACTATAAGCCTAGAATGAAGCTATAGCGGAGTTGATCATTTACCTTCCAATATGGCTGCTGCGACCACAGCGTTCAATGGAGAGTGCTGGAGTAGTTTGTCTCGCCCAGAAGGGGACGGCAGTGTCACAACAATAGTTTCGAGAATACCTGCACGCTCCCGCGGAGAAACAGCTTGGCTTCAACCGATGCCACAAGGAGTGCCTTCCATATCCGCGGAGTTCCCATTCCTGAATTGGCCAGACAACCAAATCAGCACACTTGGTAGCCCGTTGGACCACTACCAGGCGATAGAGCGGTTCTAATTTTTGCGCCACATTGGGGACCCCGACAACGTAAATCCCTCGCCACCGATAGAAGCTGGACGACGGGCTTTGTAACTGAGCTCTCTGATTTTCGGCCTCGCGACTTGACTTCGGCCAATGAGAATTCGATCTTAGGTTGTGCTTTCGATGTTGATCTGCGGCAGGCGTGTCGCAAAAACTTTTCGGATATAAAAAGCAGACGACGCCCTGGGGACGCCCTGGGGACACCCTGCACCGCCGAGGACCTAATCACCACGTCACCCAACGCAGTATCAGCGATCATTAAAGGTTAATTGCGGAGGTAGAGCGAAGGGTTTCTAGGAAGGGACCTGATCTCGATCGAGCAAAAGAAGTCATCGACCTGGCCCCGATCACAGGGCTGATAATCATAGATTAGCAGTGCTGTGAGTAACTACCAACTGGAGCTAGAGCGCTGTATTCAAGGTTTTTCAGTGAATGAGTATAGCGACAAGACTGATTTTGGTCGAAAATGGCCACGACAATGCGTGCAATGTGGCCAGGAAAGTGTTTAGTGTTTGAGACACCAGGATGAGGCACAAAGAACTTTCCGTGTGGATTTGGCGTTGAAGCGCCAATGATTCGAATGGAAATGGAACAGAAAACCGATGCATCAAGGACCCAGAAACGTTTGTAAAAGTGGCTCAATAGTCGTACCAGCATGTACAACGCGCATTGGGAGACGCGTGGAAGACATCAAGAAGGAAAACAGCACTGAGGCTGGAGAAAGGAACACGGAGCGAGTCCATTCAAATTCGGTACCGAATCTCCGTCCGTTTACTTTGGACCAAGATTGTATCCATAGCGCGCAATTGCATCGTCGAGGAGACTATTTATCATCCGATGAGAAGGGGCTGGTTGTCGCCATGGCGTGCTACGCTTTGAAGTAGGACCGTGTCTTAGAGTCAAAATTTGGGTGCGACATGAGGCTCCGAATGTGAACCTAATCGAATATAAGTCAAATACACTACACTACAAACAAACATTCAATACCCGAGGCGTTAAGAGCGCTGATCAGGTATGCCATACAAAGTCTATGGATTAGCATAACTGCGTATAGTCCAGATAATCTCCGGAGAGACTAGCATGTTGAGGGGTACAGAATATGGTCAAGAAGGCGAGGGTAGAAGATGCATAAGTGATCAGCAAGGAACTGACCTAGATGTGGTGGGATCTAATATCTTTTCGTTAGGCAGCGGCGGTTGAGAGGTCAGTGCCTCATTATTTATCTCCTGATTTATTCGCTTTTCGATCATGACCCCGCAGCTCTTGTTGGAGCTTGTATTCTGCAAGGAGTAACATACACCTTGTCCACGATGGACGATGGTTGTTGACAAGGTGAGCATGGTCCAATCTGCTTGGTCGTGACTGACTAAACCTAAATCCACCCCATGGTT